GTTGTCCAATTAATTTCTTTCTATTTTTAGTAGAGATGGGGTCTCGCTCTTGCTCAGGCTGGTTTCGAACTCCTGAGCTCAAACAATCCACCCACCTCGGCCTCCCAGAGTGCTAGGATTACAGGCGTGAGCCACCACGCCCGGCTGAGACATTGCATTTCTGCTGTTCATTCTACATTTTTTGAGTTCTTTATGTCAATCCATATCTTCAATATAGTGAAAGAAAGAGTCAGGATATGCAAATGAAAGAATAGTCACATAGTCTTACATTATTAGCAAAGTTTATAATAGAATCATATTATATTTCTGAAATATTTCTGTTTTATGCCCCTGAAGAATTCTCTGAATTTATGGAGATTCACATTATGTTTATAATTATTTCTCATTTGAAATCTGATCAAGGCTTCTAAAGATAAGAAATCCTCGAGATAGTTTAATTCTTAGTATCCAAGCTATTGAACTGACACTAACAACAGTGATGACACCTGTAAAATGAAAGCTTTTTTCAAAATGCTCTTGTTCAAGTGCACGGCTTAAATTCCACTGCAAATGACATTTGTTTTCTGCACCAAACATTACCTGCTATAGTCATGGTATATGCATTTTTTGAGACCTAGATTGTTCACCAATCAATTTAACTCTTTCTCACAACTTATCTCTTGAGAGTACTTACATATTCTTCATAAGCCTCGTGGGCCGGAGGAGGGGGTGGCCTGTATCCTGGCACTGTGGGTGCCCCCCGGGCTCGAGGAGTAGGGACACCTCTTGCCACAGGGGGCACTGGAAGAGCTCCACGTGTCACAGTGGTTCCTCGAGGGGTGAGAACACCCCGTCCAGGTGGCGGGGGAGGAGGAATGGCACCCCCACGGCCCCTAGGAAAAACAGGTCATGTATAGATGAGACACAAGGGATAGGAGAAAAGGGACTATAACAGAAAAAAGCTCACATCTCATAGCCTTCATACAATGGAAGAAATACAAATTTCTCTCTCTCTCTTCCCCCCCCATAGAGATTATTAATACGTAAAGTGTTTTGACCTCTACAGCAAAATACATTTGCAAATACTGACTATGACTTAGTTCTCATGAAAATCATGTAAAATACTTTGATATTGTCTTTTATATAACTAAAAAACCAAAGCAAAAAACAAACAAAATCCACTCTAATTACATTCAAAATTTGCCAAGAAGACCCAAATCAGAGTACCTTCCGATATATGACTCACTGGACCACCTATGAAAACTCAATCTATATCTCCCTGGGGATTATTGCAAGAGATAAGCAATATTATCATTTACAAGAAAAAATATCTGCCTGCACTTTAATAAAATGTGGAACTCTAATCATGGTGATATCATTCTGTTTATTATAGCAGCTTCAGTTTGAGGTCATTCGAAATCCCGACTCATTGTCACTGATTTATCATCATGCATGTAACCGCCTGAGCGGGTGCAGTCCCTGAAATAATATATTTTATTATGGTAACTATGATGCTAGTGGGATACATTAGTTCTCTGCAATAAAAAGAATAGACTGACTACTCTGTACTGCAGTTCTTGACACAAAAGTAACTTGCATTAAAAGCATAAGATCAAATGGTTGCAGCCAACTTTTATGGTATTTTGAGGCCTTTAGAAAGGTTGAATGTTTGTCTGAAATCTTTGGGCACAAGCACTGTTATTTCGTTTTTTATTATGTCTGAAAGGTTGGCCTCCAGAAAGCATTGCTTTCAACAGGAACACTAAAGCTTTGGAAAAAATGATGATCATTGGCATGTCAACAATCACACTGTTTGGCTGTACCCACATACGTGGATGTAGGTTATGCCTTTTGCTATGAATAGCAGTTGGCTGGCTCTTTCTTGCTTGCAAAAAATGAGCTTTTAGGAGTCAAGAGCAAGAATGGTGGTAAAGCTTTTAAAAATTTTAAATAGATTATTGAGATGATGAATAGAGAAACTATCAGAGAAATTACTGTGAGTCTAATGTATATGAGAACACTCTCCTAGTTTGAGAGAAGGTGAAATACAAAAGACCCAGAGACCCAGGGCTGCTTCAAATACAGCACAGGTGAGAATACAATATTCTCTATTATCATGATAATATAAAAATGCATCTGTAAAAAAGGATGTAAAGACCAATTTACCTTCATTGGGCCTCCAAGCACCTGTCTGTTTCCTCATAAGCAGGATGAGCACACACCCAGGTTTTACAACTGCTGTCCTAGCTTCCTGTTCAGGATAGCATTCTAACACTCTCAAAAGCATCCATGTGTGGGGAATAAATTATATGGTCACCCTATGCTAAACTACATTCACAAGTCTTGGCTATACCTTAAATAACCCTGGATAAGTACTATAATTACCTAGGCCTGAGGTGGATTCTTTTTCTAATGAGTAAAATGCAGATTTCTGAGGCTATAACACTTATTCCTGTTCTAAAATTATATGATGCTTGCATCAAATCTAATTTCTTATCCCATTCCTTCATCGAGTGACTAACAGACACATCCCTAGCAAACCTGTCTCTTGAGCCTGACTCATTAATTCCCATGCACAATGTCCCTTCCCTGGATTATTAACGTTGCTGCTCCCTCCTCCAATTCAACTCAAGATTCACATCACCTATTTTAGGACACTGCCCCTGGCTAAATCCACACCGAAGCAGTCTTTTTGTTATTCTTCCGACTTCTTGAAAGAACATTTTCCATGTTTAATTCTTTACCTTCTTCCTGCTCATTCCTGAACTGAATGTAATCAATCTCGTTCTTACTTTCACCGCTCTGTTGATAGCACTCTTGGCTGAGATCACCGGTAGCCTACCAATCTCCAAATCCACTAGATTCTTTTGCAGTCTCCCCATGACTGCCCTCCCCTACTATATTCAAGACTGTGGATTAATATCTGGAAAATGTTTCTTTGCACCTTTATGATCCTGCTTTTCTCCACTTTTCCTCCTTCCTCTTTCTTACTTCTCAGCCTCCTTCACTGGCTTCTATTCCTGGACTCGTTTTGGAATATGGGTGTCCCCAATTTCTGTCCTTTCTTTCTCCCATGGTTACACCCTGCAGTCCCTAACTCTAATGATGACTCTTTGTTTCCTTCTTAACATAATGCCGTATCCTGGTTTGTGTTCCTTATATCTGAAGTTCCCTAACTTCCCTGCAGATTAGAGTTATTTGAGGATCTTTTAAAAATTCCAAATTCCAGCCCATACCCCAGGCCAATTAAATCACAGTCTCTGCAGGCAGGGAGCCCTAGTGACACCATTGTACAGGCTAGTTTAGGAATGACAGCCTTACCTGCCTCACCTAATGTAAGCATCTTGACAAGTTTGTCATGTAGGCAGTTCTAAGCTATTTTGTAAGTTGAGAAACCAAGGCACAGAGAGTACAAGTCCCCTGCCCAAGGCCACACTAGCTATCCACAGAGATAGGATTACTTACAGGAATAATTATATTCATCATTTAGCTTGATCCTTCACCCAATCTGGTTTGATGAAATCATCAATCTCTTACCAGGTTAGACACTAGAGAGTTATCTTTGTCTTGGGCCACACTTCTTCTCCAATATCTAATTGGCATTAATTTCTATACACTTTAAACTCTAATCTGGCCCTATCTTTCTACACTCCAAGTGCTGTTCATTTCTGTCTGTCTTGGATAGCAGACTTGTCTTCTCATTGGCTCCCATGTCATAAGTCAGTTTCTCTCTTTGTCTCTGTCTCTGTCTGTCTGTCTCTTTCTTTCTCTGTCTCTGCCTCTCTCTCAATCACTCCAACTCTTCTACATCACTCACAGTGATGACTGAGCAGTCTTTCTTAGAAACAAATATGATCACTCTCCTCTTTAACAAACTCCATTCGTTCTAAGTATCAGTTCTCATTGTAGTAAACAAAAGCCTCCAAAATCTGCCCGTAATGTTTCATTTTCCACTGCTTCCTCTCGCTGCAACATGTAGTGGTGATGTGTGTTAGAGATGTCATATAGTTTCATTCTTCATTTATGTAAAATACATTATTAGTATAATAGATGTAATGCTTTGTTCTCTGGTATGCATTATTATTGGAAGATTAGTTACAGATATGTTTATTGAAATGTAAATTTTTTAATTAAATACTTTACAACAAATTATAGAATTTAAAATATTCTAGACACCATCTTTTTGAACATAAGTGTAATTGAATAACTTAATAAACTAATAATTTCATTAATATGTACAATTTAGCATCCATTAACTCCTGCTATCCAAAGTTTTCCTATCAATATGATTTTCTGTTTTGTGAAGTTATTTCCTTTTTCATTTTTAATTGTAGACACATTTGATCATGTTGTTTGAAGTAGAAGACAACAAAATTCTGTTCTATTTACTTTTACTAATGTTAGTAACATTAATGATATCAGTACAGCATTGGAAGTAAAATTTAATTTTCAGTGTTAATTTTTTTCTTTTTATGTCTGTATTATCAAATTTGTATGATATATGGAATATGAAATAGCAAAATCCTTCAATCGAATTTTTCTTCTAAGAAGATATTTAAAAATATAGACCATTTTGAATCAGCACTATTATTTATTATTAAACAGATTCAAATTTTAAAATAAAGCATTCTAAAATTAAAATCTTATATGGTCCATTCAAATACAGCAAATGCAATATCCTATTAAGGAACATTAATAACACAACAAATCTATTAATATAATGATTTTATAATATCAAAAGCAGGTTAATCATTATCTTTTCTAAATGTTCCTAATCTCAAGGAATACAGACTAGAAAAATTGGGTGCTTTCATTAGACATCCTAAATGTACACTTAGGTTAAACCATATAAAACTGCTAAAATTGGCATTTTTTTGAATTACAAAAGTGGCAATTACATGTAATTTAACCCATTTGATTAAATCCATTAAAGATGTCTTGCAAAGATGTCATTGCAAAACCCATCAAGATGAGATTAGAAATGTGCAAAAGACTGATCCTATTAAAAAAGGACAGTATTGCTTTACATCACATTAATTCTTAGCAATAAGCAAATGATCCTGAACAACATTAGGGAGCTCCATTTTTAATTTTTTAAAGATAACATAAATATAAGCTCTACAACATATTCAGAAGTTTTGTTTTTAGCTAAATCTAATTTTCAGAATTGCCACATTTTACTTATAATAAGTTATTTCCTTGATATTTTATTTAGAAATTTATCATTCTTAACTTTTTTTTTCCTACCAAGTGCGAAACTTTTTGAGATATTTATGATTTAAATGTTAAAAAACAGTGGCTGTGTTGACAGTGGTGGTTGAAAATATTTGGGGTATAATTTAAGAAACAAATTGAATCTGCAAAATATCTTAGCATCTCTTGGAATAATTTCTATGTGACACATGAAATAATATTCTAGATCTATGTCCTTTAGAGATTTAAAGGCCAGCTATAATAGGGTGAAGAGAATGATTGAATCACACAGTCATTGTATGAAGGCTATGAGTATTTTTTACTTTACCTCTTTGCAAACCAATGCTTTCTGTTGAAAGTTTAACAAATTCAGTATTCTAAAAAACAAATTCTAATACAGAAAGATTCCAATTTCTTTGCAAAGTCAACAAAATCAAATCAAGTCTTTTCCGATCACCAAGGGCATTGCAAAGTCAAATGTATCTGAACTTTAAATATCCTTACCATCAGCCACTCAGGAAGTGTGCTTCTGGCTTTCTGGGCTGATGGCATATGTATTGTCTATATCTATCTCTGTATCTCTCTATAGCTATCTATCTATCTATCTATCTACCTACCTACGTACCTACCTCCTTATCTGGCAAACTATATCGATTCAAGGACCATTTAAGGCACAAACAAACTTTATATAGTTTTCTCTTCACACAAGGTTATCAGGGTTCAAAGAGGCAAATGGTTGTATCATTTGGGTGCCCTAATCCTGGGGAAAGAACAAGAAAGTAGAAAATCTCAGGTTTGCTGCCTTATTTTCTAAATCTAATTTCCAGAATTGCCACCCTTATTTTGTAAGGATAGTTGTTAACAAAATTCACAGTTAAAAGCATAAACTGTGAATTCTGGAATCAGATTGCCTATGTGACCTTAGGTAACTTCCATACACCTTTTGTACCTCATTTCTCACCTGCAAGTAGTAGACATCTCCTAGTATGGAGGATATTTGATGAGCTAACATATGTAAAGCTCTTACATGCCATATAAGCATCCATCATTATTGTTTTTGTTGTTGTGGTGGTAATTGTTGTTGACGTTGTTGTTTATTCCTAGCTGCGATCATGACAACAAAGGCCTGCCATCTTCCTTCACTGTTAATTTATTTAAAGTAAGAACTAATGTACCTTGAAGGAGCTGTGGGAGCTATTCTGATCCCTCTGCCTCTAATACCTCTGCCACGACCAGAGTCCTCTGAGCCATTTAAGTAAGATAATTCACGTAGTTGTTCCTGACGAATTTCATCATTGTAGTCCTAGGAGAAAAAAAATAATGTGATAAGTTAAAAATGAGACATGGAGTCCTTAGAACTAAAAAACAAAACAACAACAAAAAAAGAATAAAAAAATAATCTTTTCATTTGTTTTCTGGAGATTTGTATATAAAAATCAAAAATGATATAAAAATATACATATATTTTAAATTTCTATTATTATATGGAGAAATTGAAGTTGCTTCTTTTATCAAGGAAGTACTCAGCAGGACATCAGGTTATATTTGCTAAGATATTACTTATGTGTTAGCTAGAAAACAGAAGATAGCAGTATGGAACAAGAACTTGGAATGTACCAGGGTCATTACTGTTAACATGAGAATTACTAAAAAACAACATTACTTGGATGAATGTGTGTAGATTATGAATGACTACAGGATATTCAAATGGTTCCTGATGCATACGCCAAAAAGGGGCAATCCCAAGGCCCAGAGTAGACACTGAGCATGTATTAAAACCATTAAGAACTGCAATAATATGGCCCAGCTCCAGACAACTGGAAAGTTGTGGAATCCAGCCAAACCAGTTGATGTGCAACATTTAAACACAAGGGACTTTCTATGTGTTCTAGCCGTGGGCTAATGGAAAGAGAGAGCCATAGTGGAAGGCAAATTTCATAACAATGAGAGACTCAGTCAAAGTCAGAGGGACTATCTTTATCCTTCATCAGTGTGGAAATGTATCGTTTCAATAGGACCAAAAAGTGGATCTGAATCATTAAAGATGAGTACTACCTTCCGAAAACAAGTGCCACTCTTCACTCTTTCTCCTTTTACTGTCTCTCTCTGTCTCTCTCTCCTCTCTCTCTGTCTCTCTCTCTCTCTCTGTCTCTCTGTCACACACACACACACACACACACACACGGTTGAACAGTACAAAATTGAATAATTGGTTATTTGTGTCAAATGGCTTATCTGAGTAATTATTTTTCTCTAAATGTATGTTTAAGCAGATTTTCCAGTGGTGGAGAGGGGTCTGGGAATTGAGACTAGAAATATTTGCAGAGGGCAGGTGAACAGAAATTATGTTTGAGGCTTAGCTGTGAGATTAACAATCAAGTGTATCATTATCATCTGCACCAACTGATGCCAATGTAGCTTTGCATAGATGTAGTGTAGAAATCTAAAATGAAGATGGTAAGACTATGCACAGTCACCCACACATCCCTGCCTAGAAAACGGCAGTAATGCATCCAGCCGACAAGGATTTCTAATGCACAACTCTACCTCGTGCTTTAGAAACTGCTTAGATTACAAGCAAAAGTGCTAGTCACTCCAAAGCATTGTTTTTTTTTATTTTTAGCATGTTGCTTTCATGTTTATCCTTTTCAGCACCTGATTATAGGGATAATAGGCTCAACACAGTTAGCTGACAGGAAAGCCATAGAGTAGAAAATTTTAGTTTCTAACAAGTCACATATTATTTGATTTCTACCTCCTAATTTTCACATTCAAGCAATAACTAAATTTAAGAATAAACATGTCTATTATTTTATTAGAATCAGGGAATGTAATGAATTGTCACGACCGAGTAATCTGACCAGGTGCCAACAAAATGGATCATTAATCCCACAATTTTCCTATGTAAAATCACCAATTTTAGAGGAAATCCATGTAGCTTCCTCTCTGAGGAAAATCCATGGACATTTGGGGTCTTTATAAATTATAGAAAGAGATAAATTCTCATTATTGGCAACACTGAGGGTTGAGATAAAAATTAACAAATTGCAGATGAATTTAACATATGCAAAATGTACCTTAGAGCATAAATCTTTTTTATTCTAGAATCAGAAAATGCAAGAAAGTAGATGTGGTCTCAGTCATTGTATAATCATAAGATAAAAAAGGAGGAGGAGGAAATGAAGAAGGAGGAGAAGGAGGAGGAGGAGGAGGAGGAGGAGGAGGAAGAAGAGAAACAGGAACAAAGAGGAGGGGCAACATAGTAATCAGATGGTGTGGCAGACTAATCCAATTTGTTCAGGGCTCCCTGCATCCATATACCCGTGGATAGTTTCCACCACACTGACTCTGGGATTTGCCATGTGATTTGCCTTAGCTAAAACAACAATAAAAAAGGTAACAAAAGCAGAGACTTGAAAAGTGCTTGCATACTGGGGTTTACTCTTTCCTGTCACCATAAACCCTCATGCCACCAGAAACACTTATGCCACCAGGGTAGCTTTCTGGAGGATGAGATACTATGTGGGCAGAGACTCCAGTTGTCCCTGCCCTCCCTGCTATCCCATCCGAGTCGCCTGACCATGTGAGTGAGGCCATCCTAGGCCATCCAGTCCCAGTCAAACTAGTGGAGACGAGAAAAATCACCTGGCCAACCCCAGAACCAGGAGAAACAGAAAATACAAAGGTGCTTTACACCACTAAGTATTGTGGTGGTTTGTTTTGTGCCGACAGTCAGCATGGAATGGGAGAGACATGCTTTAGCAGCCTCTCTCCAGCCCTCTGTTTATTTCTTGGAGCAGCTATAGACTTAGATGAATGTGTACATATATATCTGAGTCTCGTAGTCTGATGTCATTGCAGTTTGAATTATCCATTTAAATTTCTTTGTTCAGAGTCCATGCTCACCAATTCAACTGCATTGGAATTCAGCTCCTAGACAGAAATCTACTAACATGGAAACAATGTGCTAATCTTATTAATATGAATATTTGACACTGCAGATTAAGTTAATTCCTAGACTAAGCCAAACAACTTCTATTAGTATAAAACCAAGTTTCTGATGAGTGTAACTAGAGAACCATGCTTTAAAAAATAAATTATCTTCCAGAGTTGTGGTGGCCAAGAGAATACAGACCAGTCACTATAGGTGTCATTGACCAAGAACGCCGGTTGCTATGCTCTGAAATCCTATTCCTCCAAAGGCCACGCTACCCAATAGCTTCTCCCAGCTTGTGACTAAATATAGTTAGATGCTCAAATAGATCCATTCCTGGAGACACAGGACTCCTTTAACTATGCTCAAGGATTTCTTTTTTTTTTTTCTTTTTTTGAGACAGAGTCTCACTCTTTTGCCCGGGCTAGAGTGAGTGCCGTGGCATCAGCCAAGCTCACAGCAACCTCAAACTCCTGGGCTCAAGCGATCCTTCTGCCTCAGCCTCCTGAGTAGCTGGGACTACAGACATGCGCCACCATGCCTGGCTAATTTTTTTCTATATATATATTTTCAGTTGTCCAGATCATTTCTTTCTATTTTTAGTAGAGACGCGGTCTCACTCTTGCTCAGGCTGGTCTCAAACTCCTGACCTTGAGTGATCCTCCCACCTCGGCCTCCCAGAGTGCTAGGATTACAGGCGTGAGCCACTGCGCCCTGCCGCGCAAGGATTTCTTAACAGTGTTGTTGAACTTCTTTTATAATTTCATTGTACCAGGGCAATCTAGAAGCCTTCCGCCTCTCTTTCCTTGGGGTCAGATATTGTAGTGTGAGGGCTCTCCAGCCTTCCTTGGCTCCCTCTTTATTTTTTCGTCACAAGAGCACTTCCCTAATATAATTCTTACATGTTAGATCACATTTTGGCATCTGCTTATTGGAGGACCCAAACTAACATACAGAGTGCTGACAAAAATCAAGCCCTAAGATCACAAAACTGATGGCTTTGGTAAATCCATTTATGTTAATGTTGGTTGAGCCTATTCTGTTCAACATACCTTATACTATGTATGATTAAATTGGATTACTTGCCACCCCTATTTGAAAATGGTTATGGATAGGTTAAACATGAAACTGATTACCAAAAAGGGTAGTAATCAATATTTTTAGAAATTAAATGTTGCCCATTTTTTTCCAACATTTCACTTAATAAGAACATATAGGAGGTGGGCAAACAAAAGCTTTATTTTGGCATAGAGATTAGAACAATTTGGCACAGAGAAATTGTGGCAACAATGAAAAGAATAGTGTGTTTATGCATATTGTGGGGTATGAGAGAGAAACGGGTAGTTTAAGGCTGCTCTCGTAGGAAGTATATAGTATAACTGGGAAACAAAGAAGTTTATTTTTATTTAATTTTTTTTTAGAGACTGATGTCACTCTACCGCACAGGCTGGAGTGTAGTGGCATGATCATAACTAACTGCACTTCTGGGCTCAAGTGATCCACCTCAGCCTGCTGAGTAGCTGGTGCTACCAGTGAGCCACAGCAACAGGCCCAAAGGAGGTGTTTAGGTGCAGAAATGGCTAGAAATATGATGACATCATTAGCTAGAGAAAGGAAAAAATGCAGAAATAATGTTTGAAGATGGAGAATTTATATTGGGTCTTGATCACCTCACTTTAAAATGTCAGAGAGACCTTAAGGATTATCTTAATAATTCATATGTGGGTTGAGGGAGTAAATTTGAGTATCGTCTGTACATAATTGTGATAACTGATGTGCGAAGAGTACATAACAGTAAAATAACGTATAGTGACAGAAATTTTCGTATCATTAAAGATTAAAGGATCAAGATTTTTAATAAATTCAGGTTTTCCTGATTAGACAACTGAAATATATGTACCACTTTACTTATAGCCGTGAGACATCTGTTTCAAATAAATACAGAAGAAAAAATTTTTATATGTCCAAATGAATAGTTGAAACCCTAAATATTCTCTAGACTGAATATATCCTGTGCATTACAAGATATATAATTTTCTAAACCTCAAGGTCTATGATTTTTTTATTATACTGCTTATTTCCAATCTGTTATTAAACATAGATGTAACTTTGAACTAATCTTTCACAATTAGTCTATGAGACTAGTTGAAGCTAAAATATCCCTTTGAATATTTAAATATTGCATATGTTGCTGATGCTTCAGTTATATATAATCTTAAAAATACGAGTAAATAAAATATCTCGAGTTTACCTTGGAAATGTTATCTTATCAGAAATATATCTTATATTAGTTAGCTGGAGTAGTATTGGGTTCTAAGGTTCTGAAGTCATACAATAAATTATACATATGAATGGATCGTTATAGTTTT